TATTCCAAGAATCGAATGGACTCATTATATAATTCTAAACCACAATTAAATAGCAAACGGAGTGATAAAAATTGCATGAAACTTTAAATTACTCCAAAACCTGAATGGTTCATCTTATGATAAATTGTTTTTCCGAATGTTTTAAGAGTATCACTCTTTATAAGACATTATAGAAATCACAACCATATCTAATATGCTTGATTTCTTTCATGCAATTGTGAATGTTGTCGTTCACTCATTGCATAGGTTTAGCTATAATTACTTTGCTAATCTTAGCATCTTCATTACTGATCATTTTCATAATAAGATGATAAAATTTGAGAGTGTCATGGATTATATGTGATTTAGGATTTATTTTCCAAGTGATGGCTCCCACTCATTTTCATGATTGAGACCTTCAACTTGACGACCTACAATCATTAACGTTCAGCAAGAACTTTCCATAGAACATCTTCTTTATTATCGCCATTAAGGCAACAATATTCTCAACATATATTTTAGTAGACTTCCTGATGATGCTTTGCTTGGGTTTCAGTCCAAATGACTCACAATGATTTGGGATACCCTAATCACTTGTGATCATGGAAATTTTCCTTAAATTCCTACACATTACACATGGATCCACGTCCATGTTACCATTATCAAGCCACGATTTATTGTTAGCTCATGCTTATAAACGGCTTCCTTGTTAAGGATCTAATCCTTGTTAAGGTTTGTGCTTGCAACATCAATTCTCAAATAGTATTTGTTTCTACAAGTCAAGAACTCATCCTGTTACTTATCCAAGTACTTTGGATGTTCTTGGCCATAATCTAACGATCTATTACATTGATTCAGGTTGATTGGTACTACATACATACTTCAGATGCTCTAAGCAAGTAAGTCGTGCGACGATTCCATATCACAGCGTACATGATGGATTAAATTGCAGAGTAATTCTCAATCTTATTCCATCAATTTGCCATTTTAGATCATTCAATTTCACTGAGTCTTTGCTATACAGTTTGCTGTGTGATACGGTTGAAAGTCTCTATTAGAGTCTTTCATGTTTGACTTAGTATTTATCCTAGCTTATAATTATTTCAAACATTTACTTAGTTTTATACATACGGGTAGAAAGTCTTTCAAAGTCCTTCAATTCATGTTTAACACGGTAAACTCCTTTACACGTTCAAACATTTTATTAAGCCTATACAATAGAACTTAATACCCAATACGTACTAAGTATCGTCTTTTGCTTGGTATGTAAACATTTTATTTTAAAGCTATGTATGCATATACATTTCCACATTTGTTAGTTTTCTCCTTGAAAACTTATTTGCAATCGATGGGTCTTTCACCCTTTATGCAAATTAATTAAGTTTCAAACATGGTTATCAAACATGGAGTCTATCTCGAATTTTTATGGCCTCTAACCATTATTCGGAATTTGGATTTATCGTAGCTATCTTACAAGGCATTATTCCTTTACTATCTAATAGTAAATAGTATGCTTGTAAGTCTTAGGTTTATTTCTCACTTAATAGAAAATTTATAGGATTCAACCCAAACCTTTGGTGAATTCTATACCTATACAGGGCAATTGCATCAACCACTGAGTTTCAAGGCGCTTCCAAAGCCCTTTTATTATGTTGATCTTACTCCAACATTTCTGATGTTTTGTGAGTAATGAATTTTCTTTTAAGGCACTTGTAAAGTCCTTTTGAGTATTCTTGTTCAAGCATTCTCACGAAGCCCTTTTAAGGTCTTCCGAGATTCTCAGTTCTAGTTTGTTGCTAAGCTCGATTGTCATCGAGTTCATTTTCCTCCCACTTGTCGTTTTAGAAACGTGTTACTTTCCAGAAAGACACCACTTAGAGCAACAAACACCATGTTCTCAATTAGGTTATAGAGGTAATGCCCATGGTCTCACTTGAATGCTTACAGAGAGACATTGTTAGTTGAGACGATTAATACAAGATGGGGGGTGAATTGTATTGAGTTCTTAATGACTACTTTTTGCGGATAAATAAACAATACGTAAAGGAACTTAATAAAACACACAGATTTTACGAGGAAACCTTCCAGGGCCCAATTGAAAGTAAAACCTCGACCCTTCCTTAGGGATTTCAAACAAAACACACTTCACTATAATAGGGCAAACACCAAGTTACAACCTATTAGACACGGACCTTTATTTCACAAGTTCCTCACTGGACTTGCTACTTGATAGGACCCTATTCTACCCAATCTAAGTAACACACTTAGATTCACTCGTACTACCAAAGCACTACCCGTACTGCCAAAGTACTTAATCACCTGTACCACCTAAGCAAAAGACTCTCAGCTTCACCTAGAAGCTAACACAAAACTGTATATAATACAAACTATAAATTCACCCAAATAACCCAACCTCTACAAATATATGACACCTAGTATGATAGGTAAGCAATGCACGAAATCCGAAACTAATATGACAAGTTAGAAGCTTGGTAAACTAACTCAATTATAGCACTGTGATTTCTCCACGCATAAACTCACAAAAACCTAAACCATTTTGCCCTCTACTATTTATACAAGTAACACTCGTATAGAAAGTAGGTTTTCTAAAAGATAAATAAGTTAACTTAACTTATCTTTAAACACGGCTTTATGTTAATCCAGTGGGATAAAATCAAAATAAAATTAAAAAGATCTTTATTAAGAAGACTTATCTTTTTAACAAACCGATTTTAAGGAAAATAATCTTTTTAGAAAATCTTTTCCTAAAATCTATCTTTCATTATTTTCCATATTTATTTTATTTACCAAGCAAACTTATCACGTTTCTAATAAATTTCGTGCACTAACCTACTTAACATATTAACAATAATTACTAAGATAAAACCTTTAACTATTATTGTTGCGCCGCACTTTGATCAGGTAGATTACTTGGGCTCCAAGCATATCAAGTTCCACCAAAGAACTTAAACTCTTTGTCTTCAAGTTCCTGTTAGGGAACTTAGTTCTTGTTAGAGAACTCTTCCTCTGATTTGTTTAACTTCTTCAATAAAGATCTTCTTCATGTCTTCTTAGTTTCAGATGGTTCTTCAATCACCAAGATTAATCTTCACCTAGACTAATCACACACAAGAGAATCTTTATTAGTTGAGTTTGCTTTTAGTTCAAGTTCCTCATCATCAAAACCATTATACTTCAACAATTTCCCCCTTTTTGATGATGACAAACTTAAGCAAACTCTAAGACAAGTTAAACAAAATAGAAGGTCGTATTTTTGAAAATTTTGATAAATTGACAAAAAGTAAACACTCAAAGAAACAATAGAAAAAATAAACAAAGCAGAAATAAGCTAAACTACTTTAAACTACTACTGCATCATAACAAAGAAATTTCTGATACTTTCTTAACTAGAACCCAGAACAACTTTAGCTTCCAAGTTTGCTTCTTCTTTTCCCCCTTTTGGCATTATCAAAAATTCTTGTTTTTCAAGTTATTAAGCATCTAGCCACAGCCCCACAAGCAATTCATCGAGTGTGGGAAACTGAAGGCAGCGCTGCTAAGCTACCTCAAGCAAGTTCTACTTTTTCTGCATAAGAGTTCAGTACATACATAAACACACAAGTATAAGCAAAGTTCCAACTAGTCATTAAAAAAAACCAAAAGATATATCAACCAGTTGAACAATTTTAGAAAATTTACAATCAACATTAATTGTTCAAACACTAAAATAGAAATCAAAGTTGTTCATGACTGAGATAGAGAAAATAGGCTAGGCTGAAATAGGATAGGCTAGGTTTCAAGAAACTCCAGAATTTTTTTGTAGTCCTCCTTTGTCTTTGTGCAGAAGCTTCCAGATTCTCTTCAAGACTCTTGAGTCTCACAAGGAACTCCTCCTTTTGTTCATGTAGATCCTTGTTTAGTTCCTGCTGAAACTTCTTTTGCTCTTGAAGTTCCTTGTCTTGTTTCAGCATCAGCTTCTTGAGTTCTTTTAACTCCTTCCCCTGCTCCTGCACCAGCTTTTCCAGGGTCAGCATATGAAGTTTTCCAGCAGAATTCTTCATCTGATTCTCAACCCTTTCCATCCTGTCCACCAATTCTGCAACTTGCCCATTGAGGATACTTTCTTCAACATCCAACTCTAGTGGTTGTTCCATGCTTGTTTGAGGAACTGTACTGGCAGAAATCCTCCTGCTCTTCCTTACAGGCTGCTCAGACACCTCCTTTTCCTTTCTTTTCCCTGTCACTTTTTCTTTCTTTTTCTCTCCCTTCTCTATTTTTTGATTTTTTCCTTTCACTACCTCCAAACTCAGTCCAGCTAGAGTTTCCTCATTGATGACATTTTCTGGCTTCTCATCCAGAGCCCCATATTTACCCTTCAGAACCACTCCAGCATTTTCAAACAGAGTAGACAAAATGGCTTCATATCCCACTTTGTCCTACTTGGAACACAGTGTGCTAAATGCTGGTACATCAATTCAGGAAAGTTGACCTCAATTTTCTTTGACAAACAGAAAATTACAGCCATATCCATCAGACATGCTTCCCCTTTCTTAGCAGTTCTAGGCGGAATGGTTTTCTTCACAAGGTTAAACAGCAATTTGTTCATTAGACTCAGATCATTGTGACTCATGACCTTCTTCCCCCTTTGACCACCTAGGGCTTCAACAATGTCACATGTCAAGTAATTTCCTACTTTGACACTAGCTTTTCCCTTGATGTATGTTTCATACCCCTCAGTAGGTGTTTTCAGAATTTTACCTAGGGTTTCAATATTTATTCGATTTTGACACCATCAACTACACTAGAAATTACCCCTAATTTTGCTTAAAATTTTTGACAGAATTCTGTCATAGCAACAGGATACAGATAGTTTGCTGAGACTCTAGACAGCAAGAATTCCCAGCCTTGAAACTTAATCAAATCAAGAAACTCTAAGAATATAGCTTTCCTACACCAAACTAAATCGATATGATGTCCTCCAACATACCTCCCTGCCTGTGACTCAAGTTTGGTTTGATCAGTTAACTCCTCTTTTTCCTCTTCCTTTTCTGATTCTTCCTTTTTGAATTGTTCTGATCTTCTTTATCTTCTTCTCCCACATTCATCTCTTCTTCTTCTTCGTCCTCCTCTTTTGTCTCTTCTGAGTTTTTCTCTTGAGCAAACTCGTCAAATTCTTTAATTTTCTCTTCAAGAGACTTCACCCTTTGTTTCTTCTCTTTCCACTCTTTTAACCTTTGAAGGACACTTGAGACAGAAGATTCTCCTTTATCACTCTTACTGTCTACTTCTTTAGGTTTAGGAGATGAGCTTTTAGGGTTTTCATAAGTTTTGATTGAGGTAGAAGACGATTTGTAGTTCACCATGGCTAAAGGAGATGTTTCTTCTTGGATGGTGTTTTCGGAGTTTTGAGAGTTTTCTGATGAGACGATTTCAGCAATGATCACCATTGTTGTTTTAGGGAAGGTTTTAAAGTTCAAGAGGGTTTTTACTGAGAAGGGGTTAATTGATTTGACAGTGAGGTGAAAGAGGTGGGTGAAATCAACTTTTTATAATTAATGAAGCGGTGTGAAGGATTTTAAGGGATTTTGCTATTCAGTAATCAATTGAACAAATTCAATTAATTTTTCCAATTTTGAAATTACTGGATGAATTTTCCCAAAAAAAAACTTTTCTTTTCATATTCATTTAATTTAAAAGAAACTTTCTATAAATACACAATTAGAACACGCTTTTTACATATGTGCAATGTATATATTTAATAACTTACACAGTTAAGCAATTTAATGAACTTACCTTTGGTAGTCAACAACGGTGACACTTCAGCTATGCTTAGCACACCAAAATTATGTTAAATGCTCTTTTTGCTCTATTCCCATTATTTTCGACTTTGCCACATCTAGGAACTTCAGAAGCAATCAATTCAGCTTGATCTTTTCAAGTTCCAGTCTCAATTTCTTAAATCTTTCTCTGTTCAAGGGTTTGGTCAAAATATCTGCAAGTTGATATTCCGTATTACGAAATTCCAATTTAATATTCCCTTGTTCCACATTATCTGTTAGAAAATGATGCCTAATGTGGATGTGTTTTACCTTAGAGTGTTGAACTGGATCTTTAGAAATATATATAGCACTTGTGTTATCACAGTAGATAGGTACACATTCAAAACTAAGACCAAAATCTCTAACATGTTGTTTTATCCAGAGTACTTGTGAACAACATGCTGCTGCTGCCACGTGTTCAGCTCCAGCTGTAGATAAAGCAACTGTGTTTTGCTTCTTGGAACCCCAAGAAACTAAACAAGGTCCTAAAAACTGTACCATACCTGAAGTGCTTTTCCTATTCACCAAATCACCTGCATAGTCAGCATCAGTATAGCCATGTAAATCAAATGAGTCACTTCTAGGATAGAAGAGACACAAGTCATCAGTTCCTTTTAGGTATCTAAGGATTCTCTTTACTACTTTCAAGTATGACTCCTTTGGATTTGCTTGGAACCTGGCACACAAACCTACAATGAAAGATATGTCAGGTCTACTAGCAGTTAAGTAAAGTAAAGATCCTATCATACCTCTGTACATAGGTTGATCAGCACAAGTTCCAGATGGATCATCATCCAATGTGGTTGCAATATCCATTGGAGTATCATTTGTCTTAGCATTTTCAAGTTTGTATTTCTTGATCAGTTCTTTGACATACTTTTGTTGATGGATCATGATTCCTTTCTCAGATTTATTTATTTGTAGTCCAAGGAAGAAATTTAGATCTCCCATCATGCTCATTTCAAATTCTCCACTCATAAGGTCAGCAAAATACTTGCACAAGGATTCATTAGGTGCACCAAACAAAATATCATCAACATAAATTTGTACAACTAATATGTCAGTTCCATTTGATTTTAAAAACAAAGTTTTATCTATTTTGCCGTGTTTAAAACCATTTTATAACAAAAACTTTGACAATCTTTCATACCATGCTCTAGGAGCTTGCTTTAGCCCATAGAGAGCTTTGTCAAGCTTGTAGACATGGTTTGGGAACTCTGGATTTTCAAATCCAGGAGGTTGTTCCACATAGACTTCTTCGTTTAGAAAACCATTTAGAAATGCACATTTTACATCCATCTGGAACAACGTGAATCCTATATAAGCAGCAAAAGCAATAAGTAAACGAACATCCTCTAACCTGGCTACTGGAGAAAATGTTTCTTCATAGTCTATTCCTTCTTGTTGATTGAAACCTTGTACAACCAGTCTTGCTTTATTTCTGACAATAATACCATGCTCATCCAGCTTGTTCCTAAACACTAACTTTAAGCCTATTGTCTTCTTATCTTTTGGTCTAGGTTCTTGATGTCATACTTTTTTTCTTTCGAACTCATTTAGTTCAGCTTGCATAGCATTAATCCAGTCTGCGTCTGTTAAAGCTTCAACGTAATTCTTAGGTTCCATAGAGGAAAGGAATGCATAGAATGCACAAAAGTTTATAAGCTGAGATCTGGTCTGAGTTCCTTTTGTAATATCACTCATGATTGCATCTACATGATGTGACTTCTGATGTTTCCATCGCTTAGGTGTAAAGTCCTTCACTGGATATAATCTTTCCTGATCGTTGTTGACTGGTTCTTCTGTAGGAACTTGTTCTTGAGCCTTAGTTGGAACTTCAACAGGATTTTCCTCAATCAGACTCTAATTCTGTTCTTGAGAAGGAGTTCCTGGTGCATTCTCCGTTTCTGGTTCTTCATTTTCTTCCAGATTCATTTGCTCACCAATTTCAACTTGTTTCTTCTGTAATGATGTTGATTTTTCATCTGGATCTGCCTTGCGGACAAGTCCAATTTCGAAATCATTATCACACTCCTGTACATCATTTAGAGACTGTTCAGTTTCATCAAATATAATATGTACAGATTCCTCAACACACATTGTCCTTTTATTATAAAATCTATATGCTTTACTATTAGAGGCATATCCTAAGAATACAGCCTCATCACTACGTTCATCAAACTTTCCCAAGTTCCTTTTACCATTGTTATGAACAAAACATTTACAACCAAAAGATCTAAAGTAAGAAATATTAGGTTTTCTCCCTTTGATCAACTCATAAGGCGTTTTGTTAGTGATGGCTCTAACTGATACTCTGTTAAGAATATAACATGTTATATTCACTGCTTTTGCCCAGAAGTTCCTAGGCAAACCACTTGAGATCAGCATTGTTCTAGCCATGTCTTCAAGGCTTCTGTTCTTGCGTTCCACCACTCCATTTTGTTGAGGGGTCCTTGGGGCAGAGAAGTTGTGATCCATTCCATGCTCAGTGAAAAATTCATCAAATTTTTAATTTTCAAATTCAGTACCATGATATGATCTAAGGTGTATCAATGGATTGCCTTTTTTCTCTGTTCTTTCTTTACAAAAGCTACAAATTCATCAAATGTTTCATCTTTACTAACAAGAAAGAAAACCCAAGTAAACCTTGAAAAATCATTAACAATAACCATAACATATCTCTTACCACTTCTACTTTAGATTCTCATAGGACCACATAGATCCATATGAACAAGTTCCAAAGGTCTTTTGGTACTTACCATTTTCTTGGACTTAAAAGAAGCTTGAGTCTATTTTCCTTTAACACAAGCATCACACACTTTGTCATACAAGAACTTAATACATGGAAGTCCTTCCACTAGTTCCTTAGATCTCAATTTATCAAGTAGAGTAAAGCTTGCATGTCCAAATCTCTTGTGCCACAGTAAAGGATCATTCTCAATGACACTAAGACATGTTAAACTTCTATTAGGAACTTTGTTAAGATCAACAACATATGTGTTTCCTTTACGAGTTCCTTCAAAGATGATGTTCCCAGTGTCATTGTGAATGATTCTGCACTTATTAGAAGTAAATCTTACGGAGTTACCTTTATCACAAAATTGTGAGATAATTAACAAGTTGTGTTTGAGACCCTCGACCAAAAATACATTATAATAGCATGGAAACTTGACCTTCCTACCTTGCCAATAGCAACTATATCTCTTGTCATGTTATCACCAAAGGTCACAGTTCCCCCATAGTAGGCATCTAGTGAGAGAAATTTAGATTTGTCTCCAGTCATGTGCTTAGAACAACCACTGCCGAGGTACCAAGTGTTGTTCCCCCTCACTGGAACCTGCATGAGAAATCAAACATTAGGTTCAGGAACCCAGGTTTCCTTGGGTTCCTGTGTAACAACAATAGATTTATTCTTTTCGATCCAAATCTGTTCTACATGTTTTTCATTTTTCTGTGTACTCTTTTCTTTCTAAGGACACTTCACCTGTTTGTGTCCAGTATTTCCACAAAAATAACAAACTATACTACTGGGCAGGTTAACATACTTCTTTTCCTTTTGGAACTTCCTTTTGAAACCCTAACCTTCAGTTCTTTTGGTTTGAGCTTTGGTGATCCAATCTGGAACTCTATAATCTACAGGTTGTTTGCCTTTCCTAGCTTTCTCAAGTTCCCCCTCAAGTCTTGCCTTATCCGCTTTTATATCTTCCAAATCAGATTTTAGTTTTTCAAAATTCGGATATTGAGCAAGTGGAGGAACTTCACAATCAGGAGCATTAAGACAGAGTTTCATCAAGGATAGTTCCACATTTAACATTACGTTATCATGTTTCAACCTGTTTATAGTTTCTTTTAAATAATTATTATCATCAAATAGACTAAAGAATCTAAATTGAATATCAAATTTTAAATTATCAACCCACTCATTGTTTTCTTTAAAAGTAACCAAAGCTTCATCACTTTTCTGTTTAGCTTTATGTAATTCTTTAAGTTCTTCTTGAATTTCTAAAACAACTAATATTAGGTTTTCTTTAGTGAAATGTCTAAGTTCTTTTTGAGAAAACCATACCTCAGATTCTAGCTCCTTCAGCTTTGCCTTTTCATCAATTTTTGCCATTAAGCACAGATGGGCAGTTTCTTCTGGAGGTTGGTCTTCCTCTTCCTCTTAATCCGAATCCGAATCTCCCCAAGCGGCCAGCATGGATTTCTTCACGTTATCTTTGGTGAAGTAAGGTTTATAGACTCTTGACTCTTTGGATTGCTCCTTGACCTTTGTCTTTCCTTTCTCACCATCTGGTAATGGACAGTCTTTAATGAAGTGATCTTTCGAGCCACACTTGAAGCAAGTTGTGTTTCTGGAACTTGCATATTTCTTGTTCCTATCAAACTTCTTGTAGTTCATCATCCTTTTGAACTTTCTAACTAGCATTGCCATTTCCTCTTCATCGGCTTCTGATTCCTCTGAGTCTTGAGCCTTAAGAGCAAGACTCTTGTTTTTGGAGCTTTCAGAGTTGGAACTCAGATGTAGTTCATGAGTCATCAATGATCCAACTAGTTGTTCCATGTTGAACTTTGTGAAGTCCTTAGCTTCCTGCATGGCAGTAACCTTTGATCTCCATCGTTCATCTTGT